CTTTCTTTTTTTTATTCTGACATCTACTTATCTGACCAGATCTTACTGGATTAAGGTTGACCTTGGGCGTTATCACCTCTACATCATCTTTCTTGTACTGATATCTCTCCCAAGTTTTTTTTTAGGCACATATGTTTTAAAAAGACACAGTTCCACTGTGTCATTATCATTATCACAATTCACCTGTGCCACTTAACACAGAGTTTTAGAATTGTTTCATTACTACATTAGTTTGTGGTTTCCAGAGAAACAGAACCAATTTATATGTATATATCATATATATGTATGTATGTATCATATATGGGCTCGCATGATTATGGAGGCTGAGAACTTCCAGGACCTGCTATCTGCAGGCTGGAGACCCAGGAATGCTAGTGGTATAATTAGTCCCTGTCTGAAGGCTTGAGAACCAGAGTAGATAATGGTGCATGTGCTAGTCCAAGGGAGAGGCAGACTTATGACCCAGGTCAATCAGGCAGGCATGAAACAAAAAGGGCAAATTCTTTTTTCCTCCACAATTTTGTTCTATTTAAGCCCGCAACAAATTGGATGATGCCCATGTACAATGGAGAGGAAAATCTTGTTAACTGAGTCCACGGACTTAAATGCAAATCTCATCTGGAAATAACACCCTCTCAGACACACCCAGAAATAGTGTTTAATCTGGACATTTTGTGGCCAGTAAAGAAGATATGTAAAATTAACTGTGGTGATTATTTCCCTGCTTCATTTAATTATGGCAAGGTATAGATATTATATGTTAAACAATATTAGATGACATTGTCCAACAAATGACACTTCGTACATTTTCATCTTCCCAGTCTATTAAGGAAAAGTCTCATTTTGCCCACTCTGAATCTAGGTTCTGAAAGTCAACATCACTGGGTGTCCACTGTGATAACCCCTCTGACTGACCACCTGAGGTAATTTCAGATTTGGGTAGCCATTCCCTGTCACATGACCTAATAGGACAAAAACAGCCAGATTCACTTATCTGGTGGATGCAGGGCAGGAGAGAGTGTGCCAGTATGGCTGCCTCTCATAAGCCTTCAGTGTGGGTCCTCACTGTGGTAGAGTTACTTTACTCCCTCCTCATGACAGCTCATTTGTAAGGAAACAAGACAAGGTGGCTATGTGCATAATTCCATTACTAGGTAAGCCTGGTGCTCCAAAGGACAAATTTCCTTGAAAAGCCATGAAACACCTTCTAGGACTAGAACTGAGATAGAGAGAAGAATGTGGTCACAGGCCCACCTGGCCTAGACAAAAATGTGTTGTCATTTCCCTGGGCCCTTTGTGGAGGCCTTCTACTCAGAAGAAGTTTCACTTCCTCTTTTCTGCCCTCCCCCAAGAATTTAACTTTCATTTTCACTTGGCTTCTCCGTATCTCTTTGTGGAGATCAGATCCCTAGTTTGGTGAGTGAATCCTGACCACCCCTGCCCCTGGCCTGCCTTATTCTTCTCCAAGGTATCAGGACTTCTCCATTGGTGTCTGAAGCTGAGGTGAGTGGTTTGTAGCGGGTAGAGGTTGGGAGATTTCAGAGGAAAAAAAATACACATGCTTGGGTGAGTCTAACTTGTCTTCAGGAAGCTGTTCTGAAGGGAGAGAAAGGACAAAATTGAAGACTCCCTGCCGAGAGTGCTGACTGAAGGACAGTCTAGAGTAGGGGTGGTCAAAAAGAGGAGATGTTTAGAGAAGTGAAAGGCTTTGTTTGCTTCATGGAGGGACTGTTATTTCTCCAGGCTGAATTTACCCACCTCTCCTACCCTTTCTATAATTTTGAATTGTGCCTTGCTGAGGACACTCAGACATCTCAAATGTTCAGAGGTAGAAAGTTCCTTCCCCCCAACAATAGGACCAAAGGCAGAGGGATTTTTGAATCCTAATAGTTTAATGCCTATCAGTGTGACAAACTAGTATTTCTGTATGACTCTGTAGATAAATTCTCATCACCTTTGCCTGTCTCTGCTTAGGAGCCTTGATGGGGTGACAGCTGGCAAACTCTGCAGCCTTTATCTATTAACTTGTCCAAACACAGGGAATTGCTGCAGTTTCTTAAAAATCACTAACTTTGCTCATCCTTCTCCTTGGGTCACTTTGGCCACAGAAACAGAGCTCAGCTGAGAGATCAGGAGCAAGAGGAGCGTGAAGGAAGAATTTACAGAAGTGGTGTCTTTTCTCAATTTAATACACAAAATGAGTTACTTAAGTGGTGTTAATGATATAAAAAGATCTCAGGAGAAATAGTTTGATAACAAGATCCAGAGACACATGTGGGAAGAAGTTAGAGTAGGGCAGCCTCTGTGTTTACTCCCCCTTCCTATAGAAGTTACAGCTGTACACACCTTACACGGGAATACGACAGACACCAGTCAAATCTCTTTTCTCACCTTGACTTCCCCTGATGTGACCAAATCTTACCTTATCAAATTTGAATTTTTAGATTATCACCTCTGCTACATATTCTTGTCCTCCTCTCAGCTATAAGTCAGTGTTAGGCACCTGTCTTCTGAACTCATACAATGCACCTCTGTCATGCCAGTTATCATAGGGATTTAGAATTGATTTGTTACTTTTCTGCTTCAGTTTTTAACTTGCTGCTATTATAAGTTGTTTATATTAAATGGTGTTAGATGACTGCCTGGTAATTAAAACATAGCACAATTTCATTTTTCCATTCCATTTAGGAAAAGCTACTCTTCCCATTAACATCTGTAATGTGTGGCTTCATCATTCTTAGAGAAACAGTTTTACTCCTGTGGAAAAAAAAAGAAAGTTCTGTTTATATCCTATTGTTTTGACTTTGACATTGTTATTGTCCTTGAATGTCTTTTTTGCTTGTTTTTTGCTTTCACTTCTGGGATAATTTGAGTTTCTATTCTCATGAGCTCGTAAGTCAGAAGACCAATGTGTAAGGTGCAATCACTTGATGTCTATGGCAGCCAACTGACCTGGGAGTCCTATCAGACACACACCACTCATGTTCCCATCTCTATCTCCCTCATTGTTGCAGAGCCCTTGGGTCACTGCTTAGGTAGAAGTGGAGTCATCCTCCATGTGAGAGGACACTAGTTTCTCTACACATTGCCCTTCTGTGTCCATTGTGGCTTCAACTGCTTAGACATTATCTCCTTGTAGTCCCACTATGAAAATAAAGTTAATTACTTTATGGCAGAAAGTATACTCTGCTTCTTCCTACATAACCAATCTACCTCCCAGTCCTATCCTTCTACTTCATCTTGACTCTCACTCTCATCTGCTGCTCTCCATGTACTTCATCACTTTGTTCCTCAAGCTATCATCATCTCTCTAGTTAGCAACTGTGCATGCATCCTAAATGATCTTCCCAATTCCACTCTAGATCTATTTAACATTTCACAGCCTAAGTTCAGAGTTAATATGTCCCCACTCTTCTCTGATGGGAAAACACAGATAATTTTTCCTTGCTCTTGGGGAAAAACTCCCTAAATGTTACATAATTTCGGAGGTGTCATAATTTCTGGTCATTTCAGGCTCATGTGATACCAAAGGCCCAGAAGTTTTCTGCACACCAGATACACTGGCATTTAAAACTCATACATGATGATATGCCTTCCATGAACGGGTCATGTCTTTCACCTAATAAATTTTGTCCTCTCTCTCCTTCCATATTTTTTTCATCTTCTTCAGCTTTCAGTTCAATTCTTATGCTTTCAAGTTGGAATTCTTGCATAGCCATCCATTTGCTCCCATTATTTGATTTCCCAACAACACGAACATCTCTCTAGTAGTGTTTTTCATATCTGCTCTTTTGTACACATAAGGCTGAATATTTAATTTATTATTATGTACCACATGAATTTCAAGGCCATAGTGGTTTAAATGTTCTATTTAGGCTCGTTTTTGTGTTTTTGGATATTAGACCAGTTACTAGCATACTTCATCATGAATGATAATTTGTTGAATGGTCTTGCCTAATATTTTGAGACTTCTTTCTCAAGACTGACATTCATTTGATCTGTGTTTCTCTTTTTCCGGGTATGTGACATGTGTGATCCTCTGAGTATATCCATACCATCTTCCTCTCTAACATCCAAATACATATACACATTTAGACTCCTTTCAACGTCACTGGGATATTTCCAGGCCAAGGTATAAGCTTAAAATTTACAAATGCAAGGCTCCGCACAACCTCCCAACTGGTCTGGATCTCTTCACTTCCACATGTCCCATTGCTCTGGGTATTAATTGGGTTCAAGAAGTTTCTTCTATCTTTGAATAACTCTGTGGTGTAGGAGGAGACAGACCTTTGAAGGACCCCAAATATATTAGGTTCATCTCAACTTAGTGTATTGAAGACAAATGATCTTTGTAATCACTTATTATCTCTTTTTATGCAGCTGATAAAGGGTTTGCTCTTACCATGTATACATGCACATTGTCATATATTATGTCATGATAATAAAAGAAATCATTGCAAACATACAGCAAGTGATAGCAAAGATTATACTCTCAATAGGTTAGTCAGAGCAGGTCTTTCCAATAAGAGAACACATAAGGAGAGAGTTCACTGGAGTATAAGAGTGAGTCATGATGATATCAGGACATCTGGGAGAATGGCAGGTATGAATTCCCAGAGGCATAAGCGGTTTGGTGCTTTTAACACTGAGGATGTGCTTTTGGCAGGAGGAAGAAGAAGCAGGATAGATGGTGGATCACACATGGATAATGGTAGAAAAGGCCTCAGGTCATCATTTCATGCAGTGAAAGTAAAAGAAAATATCAATCATTGAACATATAAGGATGGAATTCGTCATGTGACATGAACTGGGGCTAAAGTGTTTGAAATTATTATGAAAAGTCATTTTTACCAGGTCAAGAAGCTTCCTTCCTTGTTTCTCCACCTTTTCTATTTTGTCCTTCAATATTTTGGTCTTGAACCATCTTTGATTTCTACACAATTAGTAACATTTATTCCTTCCTCTCTTATTCTGTCCCCTTCTCCTTCCCAATCATGCAGGGATCTGTGAGCAAGAGGAGCCTCAGAAGTCAGGACAGGTAGGACACGGGAGCAGCTGTGATGGCTTCAGGAATCTTGGTGGGCATAAAGCAGGAGGTGTCCTGCCCCATCTGCCTGGAACTCCTGACAGAACCCCTGACCCTAGACTGTGGCCACAGCTTCTGCCAAGCCTGCATCACTGCAAACCACAAAGAGTCCAAGATAGTCCAAGAGAGAGATAGCAGCTGCCCTGTGTGCAGAATCAGTTACCAGCTTGACAACCTGCGACCTAATCGGCACTTGGCCAACATAGCAGAGAGACTCAGGGAGGTCAACTTGAGCCCAGAGAAGGAGCAGAAGAGAGATCTCTGTGTGCGCCATGAAGAGAAACTCCTGCTCTTCTGTAAGGAGGATGGGAAGGTCATTTGCTGGCTTTGTGAGAGGTCTCAGGAGCACCATGGTCACCACGCAGTCCTCATGGAGGAGGTTGCCCAGGAATATCAGGTAAGAGACCAGGATAGAGGAAAGACAGTGCAGAAAATGGTACTTGATGGGAAATCTCCACTTTGCATTCATCTTATTTACCTTGTACCATAGCCCTAAGGCCTGTTATCTCTTTTCTTCCTATGCTCACCTTCTGAAGTCTGAAGGACATTTCAGTGCATTTCATCCAATTACAAAAGAATAAGCCTACAGCACAGACTCTCAGGCAGAAGTGGGTATTTTTGTATGTTGTTCAGTAGACGGAGACTTGGTACCCAAGAATAGCTCTCATTACCCCTTTGAACAGGATGGTTAACTGGGGAGCTAGGTGTTGAGAGGTAAGTTCTTTCCTTGCCTCAGGCTCAGGTTCTTCATCTAGGAGAAAGAGAATCAGTTGTCTCTTGGGTAGAGCATGCTGTCTTCTACAACCTGACTCAAAGAATACATTCATCTCCTCAGGCTTTCTTTCAAGTACTACATTCTAATTTCAATTCTCACATTTTCTGTAAACTCCAGCCTCTTTGTAGATAAGCCTGATTTCTTCTCCATTTATCGTCTATTCTGATGCTGAGAAAGCCCAGTGCTTGACTCTGATTTAATTCTTTTCTCACAGGAGAAGCTCCAGGCAGTTCTACAAAGGCTGAGGGACAAGCAGCAAGAAGCTGAAAAGTTGAAAGCTGATGTCAGAGAAAAGAGATCTTCCTTGAAGGTAACAGGAGACCCTTCCTGAGGGAGTTAGACTGAAATCTGGGCAGGACTGTGGGTGTTAGTTAGTCACATGGAGCTCCCTTCCTCTTTGTTCCCTGACAGCTGATGTGTCCAAACGTCATTTGATTACTCCTCTTCTTTATCCTTACCTTGATGGGGTGGGGGCTGAAAAGTGGACTTGTCAGAAATAAACACAGACTTTTGGAGAAAGGTGTTCACGTAGATGGAGTCTGTGACAAGGATCGTTAGTAAATTCAGTGTTCCTTCCCTGTCATGTTTTAGTGCCTATGACTATTCTGGAGCAAGATATCTGGCAATGCCTTATGGTTCTGTTCTCAGTGTTCAACTTTTGGCAGAGGGTTGGGGTTTAGGAGTAATGCATGAAGGCTTGACTGTCCTGGACAACTATGTAAAAGCTGAGCCACACCCAGGAATCCCTGTTTCGCTCAGAGTTGGATTAAATAATGCAGATTTGTGGGCATTATTTTGGAATGTGATGAAGAGAAAATAATAGGAAAATTCAGATTCCCCAAGAATCGCTCCCCTTCTATTTCACTTCCCTGTGAGAACTTCCCAAAGAGAATTGTTCTTTTTCTGGCTCCCAGGCTCTACCTGAGATCCTGAGTACCTCTCTCTCTTTCTCTTTCCTGAAGAATCAAATAGAAAATGAGACACAACGTGTCCAGGCAGAGTTTAATCAAATAAGAGGTATCCTGGACTGTGAGGAGCAGAAGGAGCTGCTAAACATGAAGAATGAGGGAGCAGATGGTCTACACAACCTGGCTGATGCTGAGAATGAGCTGGTCCAGCAGAGCCAGTTGGTGAGAGCTCTCATCTCAGATGTGGAGCATCGGTTACAGGGGTCAACGATGGAGATGCTGCAGGTAGGATTTAGGATGAAGTCCCAGTCTCTGAGATCTGAGAAAAATGAAGACTGGTTTCCTTCTCCTCTGTTTTGCTGTGCTCTTTCTGGTGGTGAACATTAAGGTCCTTTGGCTCTGCATTGTAAAATTTAACCTTGGAGAAACGATTCTCTATGTCCAATGATATATGACAGGCCCCTGTCATCTGGGTTCTATGTTAAGAATTTATCAGGTACCTCTTCATGATCCAGCTTAATCACTGACAAACAAATGCACATTTTTGTGTGTGTGTGTGTGTGTGTGTGTGTGTGAGGAAGATCAGCCCTGAGCTAACGTCCATGCTAATCCTCCTCTTTTTAAAGCTGAGGAAGACCAGCTCTGAGCTAACATCTATCACCAATCCTCCTCCTTTTTTTTACCCCCAAAGCCCCAGTAGATAGTTGTATGTAGTAGTTGCACACCCTTCTAGTTGCTGTATGTGGGACGCAGCCTCAGCATGGCCAGAGAAGCAGTGCATTGGTGCGCACCCGAGATCCGAACCCAGGCCGCCAGTAACAGAGTGTGTGCACTTAACCGCTAAGCCATGGGGCCGGCCCAACAAATGCAGTTTGGATTCCAAGAGGTTTACTTTATTTTCCTTCATGGAATGAGTTGAGATTTCTCCCTTCTTTCTCTATTTTTTTGGAAAACAATTGAAATCCTTCACAATTTTTTTTGGTATGATATATTCTTTAAATATTCAATAGGATTCACCAGGGAGGCCATCTCACTCTGTGCATTTCTTTTCAGAAAGGTTTAAAATAACCTTTTTTTTTTAATTTACTTTTATTAGGTTTATTTAGATTTTTTACAGTTCTTGTGTCAGTTTCTGGTAATTTATGTCTTTGTAAGAATTTTTCCACTCTAAGTTGTCTGATTTGTAGACATAGAATTAATCATAAGAATCCCATATTAATCCTTAAATTTTTACAGCACTCACAGTAATGTCACTTCTTTTATTCCTGATTTTGGTGATTGCTTTTTTCATTTTAATTATGTTTGGTCAATTTTGTTGATTTTTTTCATCAAGAAAGCTCAGTGTTTCATTGATTTTATCTATTTTTTACACTTTGTCATTTATTTCTTCTCTTACATTTAATGTTTTCTTCATGTGCGTATGTGTGTATATGCAGGTGTGAACGTGTGTGGGTGTGTGAGTTTGGTTTAATTTTCTGTTCCTTTTCTAATTTTCTTAAAATGGAAAAATAGATCATTGATTTGAGACCCTCTTTTCTGATATGGTGTTTAATGATATAAATCCCTTGCTTTACTTGTATTCCATACACTTTGATTATTTACTTCTTATTTTCACTCAATTCAACTTATTTTCAAATTTCCATTGCGATTTTTTTGCCTTTGGGATATTTGAAAGTATATTTTTTAATTAAAAAATACTTGGTGATTTCTTCCTTTTTCTTCTGCTGTGGATTTTAAATTCCTTTGTTCAGAGAACATATATTTTGTTATTGCAGTCTTATATGTATTGTCACTTGTTTTATAGCTTAAAATATTGTATGTCAAGAAAATTTTCTATGTGAATTTGAAAAGAATGTATATTTTGCGATCATTGGGTGAAATGGTCTATAGATCTCAGTTAGGTTAAGTTGGTTTGTAGTATTGTCCATTTCCTCTATATCCTCGATAGTTTTCATGCAAGCTGTTCACTCAATTACTAAGAGTGAGTTATTGAAATCTCCAGCTGTTATTATTGAATTGTTTATTTTTCCTTTTAATCTCTTTTTTTTGTGTGTGAGGAAGATCAGCCCTGAGTTAACATCCACGCCAATCCTCCTCTTTTTGCTGAGGAAGACCGGCCCTGAGCTAACATCTATTGCCAACCCTCCTCCTTTTTTCCTCCTTTTTCTCCCCAAAGCCCCAGTAGATAGTTGTATGTCATAGTTGCACATCCTTCTAGTTGCTGTATGTGGGATGCCACCTCAGCATGGCCAGACAAGTGGTGTGTCGGTGCGCGCCTGGGATCCAAACCCAGGCCACCAGTAACGGAGCGCATGCAGTTAACCACTAAGCCACGGGCCAGCCCCCTCCTTTTAATCTTGCTTTGTGTAATTTGAAGCTCAGTTGTTAGATGCCGATACATTTATAATCATTATTATCTTCTTGACGTACAGAAACTTTTATCATGAAATTTACCTCTCATTCTGTCATAATATTATTATCTTAAAGTCTATTTTATAATATTAATGTAGACATTTGAGCAACCTATTTCTCTATATTTTTACTTTTGTCCTATTTGTGTCTTTGAATCCAAAACATGCCTCTTGTAGACAGCAATAGTTGAATCTTGTTTTTTATGCAGTACAACGATCTCTGCCTTTTAATTGGGGTAAGACAATGACACTTGATGCAATAATTGATATGGCTGTATGTAATTTACCATTGTGCTATTTACTTTCTATATATTTCCTGTAGATGTTATTCTCTTCTTTCTCACTAAGAAGCTTCTTTTGTGTGAAACAATATTTCTAATATGAAATTTTAAGTTTTCTATTTTCTAACTGTATTCTTTTAACATTGTTTTCCTAGTGGTTGCTCTAGTGATTACAATATTGATCTTATCCTATCACAATCTACTTCAGATTAATACTAACAATTCCAGTAAAATGCAGAAATTTTCCTCAAATATCGCTTCATCTCTTTCCAACAACAATAGAGTGATGCTTTCATTATAGGTACCTGATCCAACCCAGGCCAATACCATACAGGCTTCAGAATTTTTTGTGATAATTGGGAACAAAAGTTCTCTTTTCTTCTAGAGTTTATATCAAGAGATTCATGTTCCCTTCATGAACTGAGTGTAAAGCCAATATAGAGGGAATAAATAGAATTTGGAGGACATAGACCAGATCCTGATTACTAGGTTTGAATTTCAAAATTAAGCTTCAAATAAAGCTGAAACTGCTCCTGAAAATCCAGTTCTCTACTTAATCTAGTTTTTTTGGTTCTTGTCATATATAAAAAAAACAAAAAATTTCTAATACACACAGCAAAATCATTTTTTTTGGCATGTGCAGACACAGCTGTTGGTCTTCTTTTTGGTGAAATGGAGGAAGTAAGTTTGAGGTAAAAGACAACAGATATATTGATACATATCTTTACAAACAAATAAAATAATATCTGTGATGATAGGGAAGATGAGATGGCTAAAAACTGTGGATGTGGACCTAATTGGCTTGATAATGACTGAAGTACAGGGTAAATTTTGCAGTTTTTAGGGCAGTGACCAAGTGGATATCGGTAATATTATGGACAGTGGCGAATAAGAGACGAGACAATCTGGTTGGTGAATAGTAAGTTACATATTAGACATCCTAAGTTACTGGTACCTTTACTACTGAATATATTAACCTGTATTAAAGAGGCAGAATTGAGTAAAATTAAGGAGTTGGAAATCAACTACACATATGTGTGTCTTGAACTTATGGGAGAAGATGAGATCAATTATAGATAGTGTATAAAATGAGAAGAGAGATTGAGAAATGTCTACATTAATACATTTGTTTGCTTGTACCCTCAGCTAAACCTACGTAAACTTGTTGAGGAATATTATGATTATTTACTCATCTTTGATTCTCTAACGTGAGACGTAATGTTTGGCAAATAATAGTATATCTCTTAACATTTCTGTTGAATATATGAAAGAACCATGAATTATTTAAATCATCTCAGGAGGAGCCTTATGTATTTTGGGAAAAAATTATGGACCTCTTGTTTTCCTCATAAATATGTCTCATCTCCAGATACCAAAGCCTCAGGCTGTACTACCACAAGTCTCAAAGCTGTTGTTAACTTTTAGGAAACATGACAACATCTTGTGAATCTTTTGGAATGATTGGCCTGAGTCTTTTCTTTACTTTTTGGCTCTCGTGTTGGGACTGTCTCTATTCCTACCACATCAGGATGTGGTGGAGATGTGATGAAGCTTTGTAAGTGGAGAGTGCATATCACTTCTTGACTCATGTTTTCTCTTTTCTCTATAGGATGTCAATGGCATTGTAAAAAGGTATGTGAGGGAGACCAGAGATGATCCTTTGTGCTGTGAAGACAGGTTTAAAGCCATTAGAGTTATCTGGTGCTCAATTAGATTAAAACATCGCTCAGCGAAGAAAACTTTGGGTGTAGTTTTATCTTAAATTTCTGTTCACAAACCATAGTTGGAGTTTGCTGTAATTATGGAGAATAGACCAGATTCTCTTGTAGGGACTTGGTTGGGGGAAGTCAGAGTTTGGGTCAGTTGCAGTGTAAGGCATAATGTCTTGCACTAAAATACCCCTGTGATTTCATAAATTTTATTCACCCTGCTTGCATGTCTAAATTAAGTTACCATATTTCAGAGATGCCTGACTTACTGTGGGAAGGTCATTTCTTCTTTATCTGCCAAACACCCAGAATTGATGACAGCCCTTTTATATTTAAATTTTTGCCCTGGGAATTGAAGAGACCACGTCTTTCTATATGGATCTGTTTAGTTTTCCAAAAACAGACTTGATTATCAGTGAATACTTTGGCCTGGTGCAAACAGTTGATCCATCTGGGTCAGCTACTTTAGAAGCCAGAATAGAAAGGCTGCATCCTTGTGTCTAAATTTGTACATCTACCTGACAGCATCAAGCTCTTTCCAAAGTCATGAAATCCAGACCACTATTAGTTTCATGTTCGTAATGTCTTCTTTTGCAAGTGTTTGTAATTGTTCCAAGAGAACCTGAAATCTAAAATGTTATTCTGAGGGCCTCCTTACTGGGGAACAGAATTGAAGATTTTGGTCTCTCCAGACAGTATTCCCACCCTTGATATGTCTCAAACACTCAAAAACCATCTTCTGCAACCTAATTTTCTGATCATCTCCCTGGGAACCCATATCCATAAACTGACTTTTCCAAACATTAATTTTTTTTTAAAGTACTAAAGTTTTGTTATGTTTTATTAAATCCACTATTTCTTATATTTTCATATGATTTCTATGAGGTAGAGAGGGAAATGTGAGGATTACATATTGGAAGGAATAAACTATGCATTTAAGGGGTCAAGATCTTCCCAAGGTCACAGAGAGACAAAACAGGAGGGAGGATAGGAATAAATTTCTTCTGGCTCGAAGGTCAGCAGTCTTCTTTCTCATTTTTAGGGTTTCCAGGGAAGAGGGTTCAAGTGAATCAATGGGGTGTAAAGACAGGCAGTCAGTGGTTTTAGAGGGACAGAAAGTCAGAGGTGTCAGGGTCAATTTTTTTCATCCCCAGGAGTGAGACTTTGACTCTGAAGAAGCCAAAATATTTTCCCATGGAACAAAGGAAAGTATCCCAAGCTTCTCATCTGATAGAGAAATTGCAAGTATTTAAAGGTGAGGAGAACCAGAGGAAGGATGTGGGTGTGGGATTCTTGTAGTATGAGGGCAAAGTGGGGGAGTGCATGTTATTTTTAGATGAGGGTAAAAGAGAGGAGGTAGGCCTGACAATGAGAGAGAGATCCTGTGCTGAAGATGATCAGATCAAAAGGGGAATGGCCAGGTGTCTGCCCTGTCCTCTTGTTTACCAGTTCATAGCATCATTGAGCTCCTCTCTCCTGTTGCCCCTCTAGAAAGAGGATAGTATCAGTGTTTCTTCCTTTGTTTCTAACAACGTCATTGCAACTTTTGTCATTTCAGAGCTGACAGAGGTCCAATGCTACTGGGGTAAGAGGAATTTATCGGGTCTTCAAATCTCCATATTCTGATCCTTTTTCAGAAGTTGTGGTTACTACTAGGTCTCAAGATCTTTGCTTCATGTGTTCTTCCCCAAACCTGCAGACATACAAACATTCTTAAGTGTCCTACTCATCTCTGACCCATCAACACAATTTCATCCCAGTGAAATCCCAATATCCCTTCTCACAGTGTCACAAGACACACCCATTCTATATTCCTTACCTGACCTTGTAATTTTTCCTACAGTGGACTTTATGCTGAATCCAGTCAACACTATTTCTGGTGTTGTCGTGTCTGCAGATCAGAGACAAGTGAGAGTTGTGCACCCTTCTCCATCAAGGAATATACATCCAAGTTATTATTCTGCTTTTGATGTCTTGGGCTGCCAATGTTTCTCCTCAGGGAAATATTACTGGGAAGTAGATGTGTCTGAGAAGTTTGCCTGGATCCTGGGGGTATGCAGTAATGAAAGGAAGTTCAATAGCCATTGGATCTTCGGGTTTACTTTTGTCCCAAAAGTAAATCCTCCAGAGATATACTCCAGATACAGACCTCAAAATGGCTACTGGGTTATAGGGTTACAGAATGAATCTGAGTACAAGGCCTTTGAGGACTCTTCCACCTCTGATCCCCATGTCTTGACTCTTTCCACGGCTGTTGCTCCCCGTCGTGTTGGTGTTTTCCTAGACTACGAAGCCTGCACAGTCTCATTTTTCAATGTCACAAACCATGGGTCACTCATCTATATATTCTCTGAATGTTGCTTTTCTTGCACTGTTTATCCGTATTTCAATCCTTTGAACTGTCCAGGCTCCATCACCCTGTGTCCACCGAGCTCCTGAACTTTCTTAATCCCTCACCACTTCTGCTTAGTGCCCTTGACCTGCGGCTCATCTCCTGCACCTGAGTTTATTTGCACCATCTGACTGCCTCTTCCTTTTTCCTCCCTCTTTTATTTAGAACATTTTTCTATTTGTCTGCTGCAGCTGCCACAATGAAGTACCACAGACTGGGTGACTTATACAGTAGTAATTGATTGTCTCACAGTTCTGGAGGCTTAAATTCCAAAATCACGGTGTCATCAGAGCTGATTCTTACTGAGGGCTCTTCAGAAAGGATCTGTTCCTGTTTTCTCTCTTTGGCTTGTAGATGGCTGTCTTCTCCCTATGTCTTTTCCCATTATCTTCTCACTATGCATGGCTCCGTGTCTAAATTTCCCCTTTTTTGTGTGTGTGAGGAAGATCAGCCCTGAGCTAACATCTGATGCCAATCTTCCTCTTTTTTGCCGAAGAAGATTGGCCTTGGGCTAACATCTGTACTGATCTTCCTCTACTTTATATGGGTCGCCACCACAGCATGGCTTGACAAGCAGTGTGTTGGTGCATGCCTGGGATCCGAACCTGCGAATCCCAGGCTGCTGAAGCAGAGCGTGAGCACTTAACTGCTGCACCACTGGGCCAGCCCTAAATTTCCCCTTTTTATAAGGACACTAGTCATATTGGAGTGGGACCCATCCTAATGACATCATTTTAACTTAATTACATCTATAAATACCCTATCTCCAAACAAGGTCACATGAAGTATTAGGGGTTAGGAGTACAACATATGAAATTTAGGGGAACACAATTCACCCCATGACAGTTTTTTATACTTCCTTACCATACAGTGAAAGCTTAAAGCTTTTCTTTCTAGTATCTTGTTTTCATTAGGAGATGCTATTTTTTTTTTTGTATTTGAGAAGGAAACACATCTAATCCCTCCTGTAGAAAGAACAGTATTGCTGTAACTCCTCTGACACTTCTTTTCTTCCTCATTCCCTCTGCTGCTTATTAGAACTAGCAAAGTTGTCCACACTGTTCATGTATCTAGGACAGTGCACAGGAATCTGTGCCTAAATAGTGAATCCTTCAGAGTGTGTTGCATTAACAATGGCACCCCATATTATCACAGAGTTAAGCTGGAAAGTGTATAAATTAAGTATTTAACTAAGTAGATTTTTGGTGCTCAGAGTTTCTAGGTCAAATCTTGTCTCTTTCCTTAAAGGCTGTGTAACCTTGAACTAGTTACCATCCCTTGGTCTCATTTTCTTAAAATAAATATTGATGTTAAAGATTGTACCTAATGCCTAGGATCACTTTTAGAAACTAAATTTTACTCAGTGTAAAGCACTTTAGATGTAAGAATAAATATTTGTTATTAGTGAAAAATGTAAGCTATGTCAATGTCCCAAGAAACAGTCCATTTTGGTTTGGTTTTGCTTCTATTAAATGTTAATGGTTTTTACTGAAGTCTCATTTTTCAGATCCACACCCCTGCAGAGGGTGTGAGTTTTCATGGTGTGTCCTGTAGAGAGGGTCATGTCTAGGTTCAGCTGTTCTTATGAGGGACAGCCTTTTGGCGATCAGTCTTTCTCCTTGTGGTGAAACACTTCAGTATAGCACTGTATTTATCACCACAGGCACTTTTCTTCTCTTTTTGTAAAAAAAAAAAATCATTTTCAAAGTTAGAATGGAGAATAGAACTACCTAGGATAACAGAGACATAAATTGTTCTTAGAAAAGTATGCATTATAACTTAGGGCAGGCTATGCCACTATACAAAATTTGAATGAAGATTTGGAGGACTGGAGGAGGCTTGGGCTTGTGAGCGGGAGCCACTGGGGAGTGGTGGGTGGCCTCGGCCTTGGGGGACATTCGGCAGGTATAGAAACTGGTAGAGAGAGGGATAAATGTGAACTCCCAAAATGAGGTCAACAGCTGAACATGTTTATACTGGGCATGTAAACACAATCATGACCAGGTAGTCTGTTCCTTGTTAAAATCAGGAGGTGACAAAGAAATTCTTACCACAAGAGGAGACATGCCAGTCCAATTAACATCAAGGAGAGAAATCAGGAAGATTATGGGAGTGGAAGATGATGGTGATGACAACGGCATCCTCGAGGTGAAGGAGTCAGAACTGCCCTTTGTGCCCCACTATTTGGCCAACCCACCCTTCCCTTTTATCTATACCCCCACAGCAAAGGATTTAGCCCAGCTGGAGAATGGGGGCTCTCCAAACCCCCTGCATCACCCGCTGTGGATGGCTCACCTCCCTTGCTCCCCTATGGGGAACCTCCCCTGCTAGAAGCCTTTCCACGGGACCACGCCTCTTTACATTGGTTCAGAACTGGACTGTGTCTGCCCTTTCTGCCATATTCAGAACACCAGAAAGCACAAAACCATGTTCTGTTTGTCAGTCACCAGTGACTCGGAGTTATTCCCTGTTCTATTCTGTCCTGTCCAAGCCACCAGTGTCGCTGGTGGGCACATCGGGCAGAGAACCCCAATTTTGCATAGTAACAACAGTTTCTCAAGCCTGGAGCCTGGGAAAAGCTTAGCTGGGTTTTCTGCTTAAGGGTCTCATTGGATGTACTTGAAAGGGAACAGAGTTTGCCACCTAAAAATATGTCTCTTTGGGAGACTGATTATTTTAAAAAAACAGAAGGCTCAGAAAGTTTTTCTTGTTAATTCCCCCTTAACTGCCTAAAAGAATTTAGACAAATCACCTTTAAGAGGAACAGAGCTATCACCAGAGATATCTACAAAGAATATGGGCCAAGTGTAGTGGGGGCGACTTGGCAGGGCCTAGAGCTCAGAGTCCTTTTCATTTCTTATTGTCTCTGCATGGCATGGCAAATATTTGTTTACCAAACATTTGCTTTTCCATCTTCATGTGAATTGACTTCCTCCTCTTTGAAGTTCCAAATCACTAACCCCAACATCCTCCTTTATCTTTAGCTGAAGGTGGTGTTTAGGGTGGCAGCTTTGGCTATTTTAGCAACTTACTCTACTTTCTTGGTTTTCTCTCATCTATACATGTTATTAAACTTTGTTCTATTTTCTCCTATCACTCTGTCTCATGTCAATTTAATTCTTAGACCAGCCAGAAAAACCTTGAGTGTAGAGGAATATGCATTCCTCTGCTACACTCCCTTACTACCTAGCGCCCCCCTTCAGAGGGGATTTGTTGCCCTGACAGCAGCTGCTGCCTTAACTGTCAGGAAAGCCTGGGGGAAGCCTGGGCTCAGATCAAACACTGCCCCTAGAGGTCCCCCCTGGGAAAAAGTGTCTGCCTGAGCCACTGCTCCACCAGACTCTCCAATCCCTCCCTCCACCCTAGAAAACTTGTGTCCAAATTCTGAGAGTCAGACCCTGTGGATCTTTCAGGAACAGTTCCCACTGTCCCTCTCTGTGGGCTGAGGGGTGGGGGTAAGGGCTGCCACTTTTAACCAGACATCTCAGCTTTCAGAAATAAACAAGACTAGGGGTTAAGCAGATGTCTCTCTGTCTCCAAGAGGCACTGGAAGATCTTTGCCAAGATTAGAGTTTAATGGGGAGATAAAAGAAAATTGCACTTCGTGGGCATTGTAGATATTGGTGCACGGGTGAGGTGATTCGCCAATTCCTGGTATCAAGATGAAGGGAAAGGAGATAATCCTCTCTGATTTGGGTTCTGAAGCCACCACCATTGTTCAAGGAAAAAGAAAAAAAAAAAAACTATTCAAGACACTTGTTAAACAAGGAAGGTAAGGAAGACTTTATTCAAGGGGGGCCACTGCAATGGAGTTTGGTAGTAGAGGCGAGAGATCAGGCTAAACCCTGACTATAATAATGAAAAGTGGGTATTTATAGCCAAGGAGCAGGGTCGGATGTTGGTGGATGGAAAATTACTAAGAGGTAGAATAATTCTTTGCTAAACTGACCTAATAGAATTTTTGCTGAAGGCAGGCCAAGGTGATAAGATATTGAAGATGGTCAGACCAGATAAATATCTTCAAAGGGGCTGAGGCAATGACTCTCTAAAATTAAGTTAGCAGGATTTTTGCTAAAACTGGACAATACAGAGACTAACATTAGAAGCCTAAAAGTCAGGGCCCGGTTGAGGAGAGAGTTCAGAGGAGCCTCACTAGAGTTTGATCAAGGGGAAAATTTTTATCACCACCCAGACCTTTGCCCTAGCCTGACAATGAGTGAGTGTCTTCGGGACCCTACAAACTTCTATTGTGATGTCCTCCACTGTTGAATATGTTATTGGTATTGATAAATCTTCCATGTGTACCTTTCTAGCATCTTGCCCCAAGCCATGATGGTAATGCTGCAGATATGGATATTTTAGGGGGGCATGTGGAGGACTATAAAATCCTGTCTCTTCTTTTACAAGGTACATAATGATGAAAAAATTCTGGGTTTCTCTTTCCTATAATAAAATTGGGATTTAAAACTGTACCTAACACTTTAATTATTGTGTAAATACAAGTGTCGCTCAATGAAGCAGCTATTTAAATGTCCTGCACAGTAGAATAAATATTTTTTCTCATGATTACTGAAAAGTATAAGCCGTCAATGTCCTGTGCAACAGACCTGTGCCCTTCAGAGGATCAATAATTGATTCTACTGAAGTCTCATTTCTCAAGTTCCCAGACGCCACTATCAAGACTACTCCAGTTCCAGCCTTCTTCTATGGAACATTTTATACGTAGGCTAGGACTATTTTTAAGGCCCTTTATTGGGAATGTGTCAGAAAACTGCTAAAGTATGACTTTCCAAAATCTATCCAGCAGAGTTAGCCATGTCTAGGGATTTAAAAGGGACAGACTTTTGGCATTCAGGCTTTTTCCTTTTGGTAAAACACTTAAGTATACACCATATGTAAAATCTTATGCTCTTGTCTTTTCTTTTCTTTCTTAACCATTTTGAAATTTAGGATGAAGAATAGACTTACCCAGGGTAGCAAAGGTACAAATTTTCTTAGAGAAGTAAAAAATTATAAACTAGGGCAGACAGCTGCCAGTTGTCAGAGCCCACATCAAGGTATAGAGGAGTAATATGTTGTCCCAATGGAATGAAAAAGAAAGCACATTGCCTGGGAATGGTATATACACACATACTCATACTTATTCACACACCTGTATATATATAATTATATATATATGCATAGAATATATTTTTTTCAGTTGATCTTCAAAAATGTCGTGTGAAGAGGGAACTCCTATCAAATGGTTAAAAGAATATAAAAATTTATGAGATAATTTCCAATGTTCCACGGCTAATGAGTAGCAGAGGCGGGATTAGGACTATGTCTGGGTTTCACCTGCACAGGTGCCCTGTGTGCAGTATACCCCTTAAGAATACGTAGGAGCCAGATTCCCTAGAATATAGGACAGACAACCCAGGGGATGCTGATCTGCAGAAGGGGCAGGGAGCATCATGGGAAAATCTTGGGTGCTAGGAAATAGATGTTGATATGCTCAGTCCATGTAGCCATTAGTGAAGCAGGAGCAGGTCATTGTAATGGTTAAAACCAAGTTGAGCTACTACATGACTAGGGTACTCTTACAAGTGACATGCTGTGGGAGGTGATCACTGTGGACAGTTAAAGCCTTGACTTTGAAATTAGATGGAATTTCATTATCTAATGATGTTGTTAATTACTGGACCTTATTAAATTAATTTTAATTGTCAGTTTATCATTGGAAATAAATATGACTTACTTGACAGAGATATTGTAGGAAGAAAATAATAAAATATTTGTAAAACTTCCTCATTTTCTAGCACATAAACACTGACCCAAATTGCTGTTCATTAATTTTCTCTGTGATTGAAATGATTAATGTTAAGAATGAATATTAATCTACTTTAAATATTAGTAACTTTGTTTTGCAAAAGAATAATTTGATTAAAGAATCACAGAACATTTCTTAATTTCATCATTTGCATATTAATTTTTCTTTTTATAAATCTTCAAATATCTTTATTTCAATTTACTGATGGTTGTCTGAGTACACAATTCTATTTTTTTCCGCTAAACATTCTTTTTGAATTTGATATTTAATAGTATGCTGTCAACAAGCCTTTTTAAAATTGTGGTAAGGACACTTAACATGAGATCTAACATCTTAACAAGTTTTTAAAGAGTTGCTGTTCAACAGATATAAAGTTTCAGTTATGCCTGTTAAATAAGTTCCACAGATCTACTGTACAACATTCTGCCTATACAGTCATGCATGAATTAAGGACGAAGATGCTTTCTGAGAAATGCTTTGTTAGGCTATTTTTTCTTTGTGCAAACATCATAGACTGTGTTTATACAAAACTAGATGGTGTAGTCTACTACAAACCTAGGCTATATGGTACTAATCTTAAGAGAGCACCTTCGTATATGTGATTCGTCGTTGACCAAAATGTCGTTATATGGCACGAGACTATAGTTAACAATAGTGTGCATGTAAAAAATATTTCTTCATTATAAAAGAAAGTTTCACCTTCTTCAAAGCTACTTAGTCTTTTTTATTTTAATCACTGGAATAGCCTCTTTCATTTAAATGAATATACTAGGTATAAGTTGATTTGAGATTCTTTTCTGTTTCCACAGTAATTCTCTCTCAATGGAAAATATTTTCTGTGTCTTCCCAAAGCAATCTCCATTCTTCAGGTTGCTGGTTCCCATTAGCACTTACCGTGATAGAGAAAGATTCAGAAGTTTGGTCAAGGGCTCTCTCAGCAATGCTGTAGGTCAATGTCTCCTTTCCCTGGTCAGCCTCTGTTATGAGAGGTTCGGGGATTCGATCGGAGACGTAAAAGAAACTTTCCACTCCAAACAAATGGACTGCAGGTATATTTTATTATATAGAGGATAATAAAGGCGATAGTCTGCAAACAATCCGAATAAGTCAAATAATAAGAGGGAAAAAAACACCAGCTCGACTGGACAGGGAAAACATTCACATCAGCTGAGACAGCAGCAGATCCGAACAGGTCATATAATAAGACGGAAAAACATCAGATCGATCCGAAAGGGAAACACCAGATCGATTGAAGGGAAATGACACAAATCAACCGGAAAGAGAAACGCCAGGTTGACCGAAAAGAGAACACATCAGATCAATTACTTCACAATAAATCAATTACAACATCCATGCCCCACTGCCAGGAGAGTCCTGTCAATCAACACGGCTGGGCGGGAATCACACGTCCCGGGCAAGGTGTCCCTTCCACAGGTGGAACTCTCACCGGGTCTCAGTTTCCAGAAGTTTATATAAGCAGTTACAGAGTTTACAGAGCAAGCATCTAGTGTTCCCATGCACAAATGGTTATCAGTGGAGTTCGTGCACTGATCCCTGCTTCCCCACCCCGGCTGTCGTCCCAGTCCAGTAGTTGTTGTCCACTTTTATTTATTTATTTATTTTTTAATTTTTTGGTTTATTGCAGTAACATTGGTTTATAACATTGTAAAAATTTCAGGTGTACATCATTGTACTTCTATTCTGCATGAACTACATCATGTTCACCACCAAAATACTAATTACAACCCATCACCAGCCCAGTAGTTGTGTACGTGCATTGTTTACCTTGCTTATCGTCCCAGCCCGGCACAGATGGCCAGTCTGTCCTAGGCTTCGGCGCCCGAAAGGCCTTGAAATTTTTACACATTGCAACTATCTCCATGGGAGAAGGGCCAGTTCCCACCACACAGAAAGCAACTTTTATATTTCTTTTTGTGCTGGTTGCTGTAGGTCAATGGAGCGGCCAAACATGGCTGTACTCATGTCAAGACAGCCTCACTCTTTTCAGTGACCAAAAGGCTACAACAGTCCTCAGGAATGAAGTAAAGCCTGTTCTTCTCCTCCAGTGAGACAGCAAGGCAAATGCTGCAGCACTGAGTGTTCCTGCAGTGCATGGTGGTGACCCTGTGTCTTTTGGCATTTTCATTTCCAACCCACTTATGAGCTGAGAAATAGAAATAACTGGGTACGGGGCAAAACAGTGTTTGCTCTGGTCCCTCTTTCACAAGTTATTCTTCAGTTCTCCATTCCAGGTTAAATACCTCAAGTCTCTCTCCACACACATACAGCCTTCAAACTCTCATCCATGGGCACTGGGGGAAATGGATTCTTATACGTATTCCCTTTTATCTCTGCCTTCCTGTCTCTCTATTTCTACAATGACTGAGGCCATGACTTATTAAGAAAACCAGTTCAAGATGTGAAACAAGTTAAAGGTAAAAGTACCTGAGTTACCAAACACAAAGGAAGAGTTTGAAGCATCCGTTTTTAACAGCACCTCCTGCCCTCAAATGAAGCCATTTCCTCACAAGAGTATGAAGCCTATACGCAGCTTCTCCTCAGAAATTTCCTAAGAAGGAATTCTGGACTCAAAATAAAAAGTTCATTTCTCATCAAGTGTGGGTTCTCTCATGATCTAAGTTCTCTAAGTGACTATTAGTCCCTCTCATATTTCTGGAACCTTAGGATTATACTGGACCCTGAATTTGGGAGATGGGTATCCACAATGGAAATTTTGGGGGATAGGGTTCATGGGAATCTCAAGGAATACACAGTCTTCATCCTGCAGATTCATCCATGAACAATGAGCAGGCAGTGGTATCTACAGCCATTGCTAGTTGGTGACCAGACGTTTCTAAACCCTGATGACCTGAGATCCTTGTTGGAATAGAGACACGTGATCTGCACACAATGATGTGGGATTCTAATGTTCATTTATTATGACCAAGGATGATGATGAGGGATCTATTGATTCTGATTTCTAATCTCTCCATATTCTCCAATCCCAGGTATGTATTTCATATCATACCTATAGCAACTGCACCATTTATCCCAGTGCTATGAACTCTCACAGGCCAGGTGATTCACCTAGTCACCCAGGTGTGGGAAGTGAGGGATTGTTTATCTCCTCAGGGGATGTCCTTTAGGGACATTTTTGTAAAAGAATGTATAATTTAATTTTCTTTTTTTTTTATGGTGAGGAAGATTAGCCCTAAGATAACATCTGTTGCCAATCCTCCTCTTTTTGGTGAGGAAGATTGACCCTGAACTAACATCTGTACCCATTTTCCTCTACTTTATACATGGGATGCCCTCCATAGCATGGCTTGATAAGAGATGCATAGGTACACTCCTAGGATCTGAACCCGTGAAACCCAGGCCGCCGAAGTGAAGCACTTGCGAACTTAACCTCTACCACCAGGCAGGCCCCTATATTTAATTTTCTTATTATTCACTGCTAGATTATAAAATATAATTGATTTTCAATGTGTGTCCTTGGGTCCTATGACCTTGCCTAGTTCACTTACTAATGCTAGTCGGTTCCTTTAGATTTATTTTGATTTTCTACATAAACTATTTCATCATCTGCAAATAGAGATTGTTTTATTTATTTTGTTCTGCTATTTATTATTTTATTTGTTTTTCTTGCCTTATTTTTTGGGGCCAGGACATATAGTTCAGTGATGAATATGAATGGTGAGTGTTGACATGTTTCTTGACATGTTTCTAATCATAGAGAGAATGTATTCAGTATTTGATCACTAAGTAGGATGTTAACAGGAGGCTTTTTCTTTTTTCCTTTCATCAGATTAATATTCTTAATTTATCATTATCATGAACAAGTATTGGATTTTATGTGATTTTTTTCTGCATGTATTTAAATTAACATGTGATTTTTACTCTGTTCTTTCTCATTTAATTCAGCTTTATAGTTTTAGTGTTATTGTACTTTAGTAGTTGTTCTGTGATTTAAACCTGTTTTTACGTTGATTTTTTTTTTTTTTACAGATTATTGAGGGTCTGTTCATTATTTTCATATAGGATCATTTTTATTAATCTACTTTTAAGTTTATTTAGGCTTTCCCTTGTGATTCTGAATTTCTCCTAAGCCAATCCTGGATTTGTTTTTTTAGTGATTGTAGTTTTTAGTTTTAGTATTTCAATTAATAAAAAACAAAAACTCTGTTTGTCTTTTGACATTTCTTATTTGCTCATTAATTTCTTTTACATCCTTCACCCTAGGTATAATAGCTGCTGTGAAGTCCTTGTCTATTAAATACAACATCTTGATTATTTGAAATTGATCTCCATTGATTGCTTTTTCTCTTGACTATGAGTCATATTTTCTAGTTTCTTTTTATGTTAAGTGATATTAGATTCTATCTAAAATCCCCCCAGGGAAATTGTGAATGAGATGTAGAGACTCTGGATTTTGTTTATTTCTCTAAAGAATATTATTTTTTTTCCTGGTAGTTAGGTTGGTTGAACTCTAATTCTTAATTCTTCCTTGCATGCAGCAACTGAAATCTCTGTTCAGTTCTGTTAGCCCTACTTGGGCTGCTTGGCATCTCATCAAGCCATGATGTGGTGGCCACCAATATACAAAAAGTAGAGGAAGATTGGCACAGACGTTAGCTCAGGGACAATCTTCCACACCCCACTCTCACCAAAAAAAAAAAAAAAAAAAAAGTTGAGCTGGTATATTGTTACATTATTTCATGAATTAATCTTTTAGTCTTGAAA